GGGTTGTATGGCCGTGGTCTTGGCATTGTAGGACCTGACATTTCGCCAGTAGCTATGTCACAGCTACTGGCGAAATGTCAGGTCCTACAATGCCAAGACCACGGCCATACAACCCGGAAAATCTACAACAGCTAGTGAACTTCGGCCGTGAAAGCCTTCGACAACATATTGACCTTAGATTGATTCCAAGAGTCAGAATGGTTCTCAGCAAATATAGAGGATAAACAGTAACCATGACAAGGGCTAAAAGTTGTACTAATTGTTAATACAGTCCTAATACAGAAAGTCTTATGAACCATGATGCTTTATTTCTTTCCAGCTTCTTAATACGAGCGAATGTCAGCTTTCTCTGCTTGATTCGAGTCCAGTAGCAGTTGGTAGAGACCCACAAGATTGTCATAGTATGAGCTTCCAATAATCAAAGCTCCCTTAGTCAGAGGTTTGACTCTTGAAAACGTATACCCCCAAAATCTTGTTGTTCTCTAAGGTGCTCCTAGATTCAAATCTAGCTGTTCTACCGCAGACCAACACAGCTACGCTTTGAAACTATCTTCTATGCTTGAGAAATTTACAGAATCACTCACTTCTGAGGGTGGATTGAGATACTGAAATATCGAAGCAAATCAAAAGCCGTGCAGAGGCCAGAAACGTTGTGCCTGCTGAAACTGTAGAGAAGAGCAAGAGTCCAGTAGGAAATTGTAGAAAAGAGCCAGGGTCCAGGATCACCTTAAAGACTAACCAAATTTTGTGGCAGGGTATAAGCTTTTGTGAGCCACTGCTGCATCTGAAGAAGTGAGCTCATACGCTGCCACAAATTTGGTTAGCCTTTAAGGTGCTCCTGGACTCTTGCTATTTTTTTACTGCTACAGACGGACTAACAGGGTTACCCATCTTGAACTATCTGCTGAAACTGTCACTATTTAAAGGTAAGGATCCCAGCCCATTTTTTGTATCGGGTCACTCTTTCGTAATTTTACATTTGAGCTTGTCGATTAACAGAGTTTCCCTTTCATTTTGAATCAGTTCAAAGATTGTTATGAGGGGGGAAGCATCAAAGGATACGGCACTTTCTCAGGTAATTAAGGAGCAGTTCTTCAGGATCAGCACACCTGTCTGTTACCTGCATTTGAAATGAAACAAGGGGACAATCATAATTATCTGTGCTTTTGATGGGGGTAAATTATTCATATTTATTCACAGAATGTGTATGTTACCTCTCCTGAGATCTGCTTGAGGCAGCTCACAAAGTAAAAACAATACAATAAAATCATGAAAAACAACATAGTTATTATTAAACCAGCCATAACAAATATGCAAGGGTAGCAAAAAAAAGTATAAAACAATATTCGGCTGCATAAAGATACCCATAAAGTATTCCTAAGGGTAATTGTCTGATTTTGAAGCTTGCTCTCTTGCTCAGGCAAGACATATAAGAATATGAGAGTTATCCTGAACCAGGCAATATAGACATAAGAAGGGGAGAAAAGTGTATGAGGAACAAATTGAGGGAACAAGATCACTTTCAAATAATAAGATGATGATGATGATGATGATGATGATGATGATGATGATGATAATACCTTTCGATTTATTGATCGCTCATCCTGCAGAGCTGCTGGCTCTGAGCGATTTACAGTTACTCAAGTTTTCACACGGGACTAACAATGATTCATAGGGTAAGGGAGGACAACATATAATTCTTTAAATCGCACACTTTTGCACTTTCGACTTGTCTGGATGACGTCAGTTCTTCCAGGACTGCTTTGAGTCGTAGTGCCGCACTGCCACCACCTGGCCGGATTGGCCCATCACAGGCTTCTTAATGCCGAACAGGTCTTTTTTCCAAGCTTCCGAGCTTACGAGCTGGACCTTCTGTTCGTCGGCTAACACCTCCCTTACATGAGTTTAGTGTGCCCACCCTCTCTAAGAAGTGGTACCCATTTTATCTACTCGCCGAAGCTTTCGAACCGCTGGGTGAACGGCGAGCTGGGGACAAGGCTGGTAGCTCACACCAGCGCGGGCTAGAACTGACAGCAGCTATGTTCAGTTCAGATGTTAACCAGAGGATAAATCCTCTGTGCCACTGTGTTAGTCTGTAGAAAAAAGCAGGAGTCCAGGAGGAGCACCTTAAAGACTAACAAAATTTGTGGCGGGGAGGAGCTTTTCTGAGTCACTGCTCACTTCTTCAAATACCTGCATCTTCTTCAGGTAGCTGGTACTGAAGAAGTGAACAGTGACTCATGGAAGCTCCTCCCCTGCCACAAATTTTGTTAGTCTTTTAAGGTGCTCCTGGACTCAGGCTCTTTTCTACTTCGAATAATAAAATATAGACATGCTTCAAAAACAAATCAGCATCCCACTGAAGCCTCTCATACGAATGTTAATGTTCATGAAAAAGCAAAAGACAGCAACTTTGGCCCCATTCACACTGCAAATTTGCTGCGGGAGAGCCACGATGAAATGGTGGATTTTCTGGGCGTGATCACACCAAAACATCTGGCAAGTGGAGCGAACCCGTGGCCAACCCGTGGCATGCCACCGAAAATGCGCGATTAAAAAAATACCTCCTCGAAGGTACTAGTAAACGGTTTGCCACGGGCTGCCTCCGGACTCCTTCAGTGTGATTGCACTGGTGCGGCTTTTCCATCCAGCCGTCTTCGTTGCAGCGCACACGCCAAGGGCCAGAACCATGGGTGGCCGCCGACGCTTCTAATCGCGTTGTCGCACGTCTAATTGTGGCGCCGCAAATAGCCACACCTCTCCCCCCCGCGTTTTCCGGCCCATGTGACTGGGGCCTTTGACATGCACATGGAATTTTACACAGTGTCCTTTTGCATTCTAGTTACAGAACGGGGAAAAGGGAAATGCGCTTTCAGTGCTATGTGAACATGTCCTTAACATGAGACTCGTGGGGTTTTGTGGCACAAACACTGGTCTCTACTGAGGCATAAATTCACTGCCACAATTTGAATTTTTTGTAAAGGGCTGTTAAGTTGAAAGGAAACCAACTTATGGCAACCCCAGAAAGGGGCTTTCAAGGCAAGTGAGAAGGAGAGGTGGCTTGCCAGTGCCTTCCTCTGCAGAGTCTTCCCTGGTGGTCTCCCTTCCAAGTACCATCCCTGCTTAGCTTTTGAAATCTAACAAGACTGGGCTACATCATGCTGCCTTACCTCAATTTGAATTTTGAGGCCAAAGATGCAGGAGGGAAGTGACACGTTACCACTTTCACAAGAGATGTGCTTTCCAGTTTTGTCCTGTATAGTGCTCTTGGGGAACCCCTACTTGTCTCCTCCAGGGGTCATTTCCTGCAGGAGTGCACAGGAGCGGAGCTCCGGCAGTAAAGAGCCCAGGGGGCGGGCACATGCAACAAGCCCCACCCCCTGCTCCCAGCAGCCCTCAGTCAGAGCAAGAAGCAGCCAGGTAAGTTGCAGTGGGTGTTGCCTTCTGACACACTTCTGCTGATGTCAGGGTGTGTGGCATATGCAAATAAGTTATGCTAATGAGTTATGCTAATGAGCTCCTGCACCTCTTTTTCTACGAAATGACCCATGCTAGTCTCCTCTATCCTTCACACTGGTAGTGGTAAAGATGGCAGTCTAGCATCTAAGTAACCACATTTGTCCCAAACCAACTGTGGTGGGAGAAAAGTAGCCTGGGCACTGGCTGCAGAGTTATCCCCACAACAGGGACAGGTGACAGTCGACCAGGTAGAAGTGGAATTGGATTCTGGTGAGATCAGAGAATGCCCAGGCTAGCCTGATCCTGTCAGATCTTGGAAGCTAAGCAGGGTTGGCCTTGTCTAGTATTTGGAAGGGTGACCTCCAAGGAATACCAGGGTAGTAACGCAAAGGCAGGCACTGGCAAACCACTTCTGAAATGTCTCTTGCCTTTAAAAAAAAAGGTCTAGCTCACCATCTAGTGGTGCATAATGCTAAAAGTGCTAGAACTTCTGGCTGCCAGTCAATCTTAGGATCTCCTGGCTATTCTACACACAACGCCATACAGTAACTGATTAATTAGAGAATGCCACAACGGCTTGGTGGGATGCATGTGGTGCAGCAGACCAGGGAGGGCCGGTCAGACAGGGGAGTACCCAGAGGGAAGTAGGTCGATGTTTTGGCAAAGAGTCCTGGGCTGAGGAGGAGGAGAGGCACGTATGAGTGCAACTTAAAAAGGGTAGTGAGGCACAACCTGGTACTGGTGGAGGGAGAGTGAGGGAGCTGTGAGGGAACACAAAAAGTGTGTTGTAGTGGCTGGGGAGGGGCTGTGGCTCAGCGGCAGAGCATCTGCTTGGCATGTAGAAGGTCCCAGGTTCAATCTCTGGTGAATAGGCTCAGGTAGCAGGTGATACGAAATACCTCCTCCTGAGTCCCTGCCAGTCTGAGTAGACACTACTGACCTTGATGGACCAATGGTCTAATTCAGTAGAAGGCCGCTTCATGTGTGTGTTCATATACTAGTATCCCAAATTACTATAACATGCCACTGTACGGTTCCAAATTTTCCTCAAGGAAAAAAAAAATCCCTGGAAGGTTATTTGGGTTTTCAACTCTCAGCATCCATTCCCTGTTAGTGTTGTGGGTTGTTTTATACATTTTCATTTATTGTAGATGGGTTTGGATCCAAAGGCTTTTTCAGTGAGGTAAAAAAAAGGCTTCCACTCAAAGAAACAGCCTCTTGTGCAAGGCGCATATATGGGGCGGTGAAGGAGCTTTTCCCACTGATTCCCCCCTCCGCCCACTGCAAACCCTAAATCACACCCCACAGCCAGGTACAGACTTGCCATTTAATTTCCCCACACCTGGTGAGACTGCTAAACTGAGAAACTGCAGAAGGGGAAACAAAAGAAAACAAAGGGCAGACACCTGCTTTGGCTTGCAACAGGCAGCAACTGCCTGAGGCTCTTCCAACAACCCCTCAGCAAACCATTAAAAAAAAACAGCAGCCAAGCAACCAGACACACTTTTTCTCTGGCAAGCATGTTCAGCCTCTCGGCTTCCTTGCTCAGACAAAGCGGCTCATGAATTCTTGGAAAGGCTAACCTGGGGCATGTGGGGGAGGAGGTCTAGGTCAACCTGGTTGTGGTTGGCTGCCAAGTGGTGAGTGAAGAGGAAGGAGAAAGAGCCGAGAAGAGGCTGAGGAAGAGAAGCCTGCTCGTTGACGGATGGTCCAGGGTACGAAAAAGGGGTGCATACACAGGATTCATGGGCACAAAAGTATGTGCACAACTCTCCTTCTCCTCCATGTGTGGAAGAAATGGTTTCATGCTTTAGATCAGGCAGGTCACCAATATTTTTGAGACTGCAGGCACCTTGGGAATTCTGACACTGCAGACACAAAATGGCTGCCACCAGAATACTTGTGAATACTGTGGGAACACAATCAAAGAAGGAAATTTTTGGACCATAAGTTTATATTTTATAATCACTGGGCTAGCGATTGCACTTTAAAGGTCTTATGTGCATATTTATCCTGTGACTGGTTATTTTAATTCTGAACAATTTACTATATGGTCCTTATTGAATCTATACTTTGTATATATTTCTGATTGTGTTTATGTGAATATAATTATTAACCATCTTGCCACATATGTATGACCTCTGAGGAAGGCCTTAGGGTTGCCAAACCCCTCGGTTTGCCAGGGATCCCCCGTTTTTTGGGGGGGTTCTACCCGCCGCCAGCCAGATGGAAGCCCCACCCCCACCACCCACAGCCACACATCTCTCTCCCTTTAAGGGTATGCAACCCGTGTTTCATCCCAAGCGCGAACTCCGCAAGCTTGCAGGGAAAAGCCAGCTTTGTTCTTAAAAGGGAAACGCCGGCTGCCGGCTACTTTAAGTGCAGGGAACTGCCGTTTCTGGAGATCCGGCGCACGGCTGGGTGGGGTGGGGCAGCAGACGTCCCCAACGTGACATCATCATGTTGGGGATGCCCCACCCCTTCCAGGAACGCCCCCAAAGTCCCCCGCTGGGGGTGGAAGATGGACTTGGCAACCCTAGAACGCCTATTTGGCCGAAAAGCGTAAGGTCAACTTTTTAAGCCCTTGATATTGTTATATTTTATATACATTGGTTGTAATTGGGCCCATATATATGTTTTAAATTTGTTATTATCAATAAA